CGCTGCTCCTCTCAGCAGTGTTCTTCGGTCCTTCTGCCAGTTCTGTTCCCTGCTCTGGCTCTGGTGGATTCTCCTACCCTCCCACGCTTCTGACTGTACCCAGTGCTTGTATAAACAAATAAATAAATTAAAAAAAAAAAAAAAACTGACCTAAATGATCAGACCCATATCTAGCCATGTGTCGTCCAGGTCACAGAAGGTAGTACTATGAGGCAACCCTGCCTTCAATGTGCTATGAAGCTTCCCATTCATGTATAGAATCCAATTTTTTTTTAAAAAAGATATATTTATTGGGCCTCCCCTGTGGCGCAGCGGTTGAGCGCTGGGTTGCGAAGCTGCCTGCAGCCTCTGCGGCGCCACTGCTCCCCGGCCACCGGAGGAGGGTCCCACATGGCACGCAGACCTCTCCTGCCGCCCGCGGCTCCCCTCAGCAGTGTACTTCAGTCCTTCTGCCTGCTCTGCTCCCCGCTCTGGCTCTGGTGAATTCTCTCACCCTCCCGTGCTTCTGACTGTACCCAGTGCATGTATAAACAAAACAAACAAACAAACAAATAAATAAATAAAACATGCCTCTATAGAAAAAAAAAAAGATATATTTATTTATACAAGCACTGGGCACAGTCAGAAGTGTGGGAGGGTAAGAGAATTCACCAGAGCCACAGAGGGGAACAGAAGAGCCAGGTGATGAAATACACTGCTGAGGGGAGCAGCGGGTGCGGCAGGAGAGGTCTGCGCACCATGTGGAACACTTCCCGGTGGCCGGGGATCGAACCGGCGCTGCAGAGGCTGTGGGCAGCTTTGCAGCCCAGTGCTCAACCGCTGCGCCACCAGGGGAGGCCCTGGAACGCACTTTTATAGCTCCTCTTTTGTTCACAGAACTTCAAAAACACTACTGATGTTTCAAACAGAATCAACATATGATGAATAGCACATAATTTTGCAATATTTTACATGAGGTAAACTAAGAGATTAAAGTTAACTTTGATATCCCACTGAAAGGAGCACAGAAGCAATCTTGCTACAGAGGAGATAATTATTAAGTGTCTTCAGGGTCTTCATTACATTTTTAGCAGCTAAGGATTACTCCAACATAGAACAAATCAGATTGAGGTACGAAAAAACTCCATATATGGCAATTGCACACAACTACCTTTCTCGAAACATTCCTCTTCCAACAGTAGATAAAGAAAACCCCAAATACTAAAGTCCAAATACACAAGATCGTGGTTTCCTCCAACGGAAAAACTTACAATTTACAGAGATGAAAATTTTATGATATGCATCATATCAGGCTCAGAGAAAAACACAATGTTTTTGGATTAAATAGAGGAATTTAGGAATGTTTTCAACAGGGAACTCTTAGGAAAGAATTCACTATTGATAATCAAAATAAGTCTATCAGAGCTGTCAATTTATGACAAATCTTTACTTAAGTCACCCCTTTCCTTTGAGTACACTTAGAGTTTAGCAATAAGATGTCTTTCACTCTTGCACATTATCAAGTAAACTGCCAAGAAAGAGGCAAACACTTTCACAGGCATGTTTGAAGGAGAAATAAAGATAAGGAAGCCAGAATGATAGCTTAATGGGTAAAAGATAAGAGTCACACTCAATTCTGCCAAAAGCAGACCTGTAGAGGTTCAGACACGCATCCAAGAATCAGCTCTGTCTGCCAACATATCAAATGCTCAGTGCATGCAACTGGCAAGAAGGCCCAGGGACCTGCCATTGAGTCTGTCACTGTCACCAGTGAGGAAAGACAGACAAAGTTCACTAGACGGTTAAAACCTTGCAAGACCCAGTCTCCAAACCAAAGTTAAGTATTCTTCCCTCAAGAATAAGATCCAACACATCCTGCCAACAATTCACTTTGCAGAAACATCCTGAAATAATTTTCCCTGATTAACTATACCACAGAGGATTTAGGGATTTGACAATACAGTATTATTTCACTATGGTAAATAATGATGGCATCCCATTTTATAAATGGCTTTTCTTAAGATGAAAGCAAACTATCTAGTTATTGGAGACCCACCATGTATCATGGCTGTTAATAGCTGTCCCAAGTAAGTCATGCTGGATAAGCAAGTCACTGAAGAGTGAGTAAGTGTGACAGGATACCTAATTATTATGCAGTACTTTTATGAAAAATCAAGATGCAGAAACTAAATGTTTCCTTTGCTTTTCAAAATAGCACTTTTCTTGCGAAAGTGTGACAAATAAGACTGACAAAGATTAAACGTGTTTGAATTATTTAATGCTCAGAAAATTAAAAGTCAAAAGGGCGAGTTTTTCCTTTTCCCTAGAGAGGCCTGTTTGAGGATGCAGCAGCCTGTTTGATATATTTCACTCTGTTTCTCATCTGGAATGGTAGAGGGCACACTCAAGACCAAGAAAACTCAAATTAATAGAGAGTCTGTAGAATTACTGCTTGAGACTTCCAGATATCCTGTGAAATGTCACAAAAAAATCACGCTTATGCTATGTTGCCTTTTATTCATTTAGTATTTAGATCTGACCTACTTTCTAAAAGGATTTGAGGAGGCTGGAGATTTTCTCAGCATAGTGCCAAGCAAAGAAGGGATTTGATAAAAACTTTTTGGCGATGGTGCTAAGAGTTATAAAATTTCTAAAGATGACACTGACAAAGATCTCCTAAACTAGGAAACAAAAACATGAAAATGAGCATTGAACTTAGTCAAAAATATTTACTCTAGACATAAGGAAGATCCTTCTGATTATAAAAGTAATATAAGAATGAACAGATACCATAAACATTAGCCTGCCCTGGTAAGTGAAAAAGCACATGCTCTGGCCTTGACAGATCATTTTCTTTAAGACAAGAATAAGCCTGGGGCCCCTATATCAGAGCAAAGATTGGAAAAGAGCAAGGAAGAGAAAGGCTCTGAGGTAGGGGGGAAAAGGCAATGAAGCCAGGGACAAACTGATTAAAGATTATGACAGGAAATTGTGGTAGGTGGCAAATAGGCAGGCGAGGAAATGGCACGAGCCATACGGACTGGTAAATGTAATTCAGTTACCTTAGCAGCAGTGTATCCCTTTAGGTCTAAAGAACACACATCCACTGAATACTAACATGGCAGAAGAAAAGTTCACTTTACAGGATTCAGACTCATGAAAAGAGCACTGAACTTCTTTAGGGATTAAGGAAAATAAACCCAAGAATATCACTACTGATAAATGATGGGCAACATCTGATAAAAGAGTGAATCACATTAGGGCTTAACCTCTGCTGTTAGGGTTTATAGCCTTTATTCCCCCCACAGTATCTGCCACTCCCTAAGGCAGTGTTTCCCCTAAGCATGTGCTGCAAGTGATTTTGGGTGTGGCAAAATGTTGGACCCATACAACTCCCACTGGTGATCCATTCACCCTAGTGTCCCACATAAACATTATTTTTATGTATCATAAGGAACATCAAAGGGTGGGACACATGGCTCATGGCATCCATGGACCTGAGTTCTTATTTCTGGGACTTACAAAAACCTAGAGCAAAGGCTTTGGAAAATAGTTAGGTCAGACAGCAGTGTAAGAAAAGAGGGAACTTCTTTCATTTCCCTAACTTCTCTCCTACATATTTTTCTATCAACTTACTAAGAGTTCATCTAACTAGGTGTGAAGGCAAATTTCCTCAGGGGTGTAAGGTAGGCTGGGGTGTGGTGGGATCAGTGAGGCTGTGCTAGATAGGCATGGCTAACCCCATGCTCCAACTGCTAGTGCTTGCAGGAAAGCAGGTGTTCTATGGCCACACAAAGAAATTGTAGAGATCCAGCTGTGGATGTGTGTGTAAAATATCCGAGTTTTTAAATGTTGGTAGCAAATGCTTATCGTATGTCTTCCTTTTAATAAAAAGAAAAAACTGATCATGCTTGGAAGCAGTGACTTCGTGACTAGCTCAGATTTGCTTGGATCCTCCAGGGTACTGAATTGCAACCGCTCAATATAGGAGTTCATTCTGCCCATTCCAGAGTGGATTCAAATTTTGGACTAGTGGTTACTCTGTGTCTCAATTTTTATCTCCTCAATATACTTCACTATGCAAACACAAGGTGAAAACCTATACACATACATGTTAAGAACACATCTCTGCCTGCCTCTACAAGTAATTACTGCTTTCCTTATGAATCATAAAACAATCATTATATAAAAGAGATAAATGGTGACACATGGTTAACTTTAAAAATCTTTACAGTTATGAAGATACCACACACACAGAAGTTAAAAGTTGCTTTTTACCAGACAATATTTGGGGGGGAGGGGAATCTTAGGGGAGGAAACCAGTAATGAGCGAGACATAATGAAAACAATCCACTATGGAAATTCTGAAATGTTCATAGACTCACAAAGTTAATAAAAAGGTACCTGTGGACGTTCTACTAGAATACTTAGCAGCAATCTACAATGATAGAAAGTGATAACAGATTTTTGAAACATCTGACCTAACAGTGTCACCAGGTCAACCGTGGTGTGAGTCTTAAGTCATTCTATGTTTTCATGTTTGCTTTTTTTTGGTTTGTTTTTTTACCCCTTGAGCCTATGAATGTGGCAACAGCAAGGCTCTCCCCTTATCTTGGTCCAGAAGGCTAGACTAATGCAGTTGCCACAGATTCTTTTTCCTTCACTGATTACAGAATCATACCAACCACAGCAGTGCTGCTGCTGATGGTGGAAGACTGACGCTTTTCTTCAGGCTGCGGAAGAAGTACTGTGCTGAATCCAAAGATCACAAAGAATGAATTGTGGAACTTCTTAAAACTGTTTATAAATTCCTCTTTCAGTTTGGAGGTGGAACTCACATTTTTTGACTTGACAGATTCTAAACTTCTCTTGCAAGGAAATTTCTTGCACTGTGCTTTAAGTCTGAAAACTTGCAACAAATGCCAACAACCGACCTACTGTCTCTACTGTTTTAAGTCTTGCCCTTGAACTGAGAAAGGACAAGGAGAAAAAAAAAAAGCACACACTACAGTATTTCTTTTTTAAAACTTTCCATTTGGCAGCTGCATTTTCAACACTATGGAAATGAATCTCCCTACCTTTTCTAGCGATCTAATTTTAATTAAAAATGTTCTGTATCAAAGGACTGATGCCAGATATAAAGGAAAAGTTGTAAGTGAATCAGAGACGACAGGGTACTTCTCACAGGCTTTTGGAGGTAAGTTCTAAAAATATTTAATAGAAATAATTTTATTTTCAATTGTTCTTGTTTTGGTTATTGTTAAACATGTTCTAAAGCAACATAGTAGACTAACAGCTATATGTCATAAATGTGTTTTCCAGAAAATTTCAGATTAGATTTTATCCAAATACAATTACCGTGAAAGTGTTTTATACAAATCACTACTTTTTTTTTTTTTTTTTTTTTTTTACTGTTTAAAAGTGGCAAGGTGAAATAAGATTCAGAATTTTGGAAAACTGAAAAGGGCTTTGTTTTTCCAAAAGTGCTTATGGATTATAGAAAACATTTAAAAATACAAAAACTTTCATTCGGTGGAGATTCAAGTCTTAAGATGTTAGGTATAAGAAATATGAGGAGTTATCCTTTTACTAATTATCTTTCAGTAAAAAGATGTCAAGTTTAACATGCAAGCAAAATAATTACTTCTCTTTTGTTTAAAACCAGCATGACACAAAGGTCTAAAGACAGAATAAAGTTAGGTCCAAGTGGAGAAAATCTAAACTGTATATTTCTACTAATTAATGGATCACTATTGTTGATAAAACAACCAAGAAAAAACACGTAAATTTCTTCAAAATCTTTCAGATAGACTCCATTTCCTTCACTATGAGCTAAACCATTCAAATTTACAACTAACACTTTTTCAAATCACAGAACTGAAATCAATAATTTTACCATTAACTACAAGGTTGTTTAAAGAGTAAAAATGCAAAGTGCTGGGATTAACATAGAATGTTTCATTAAGAATCCTGACTCTTATCAGAAAGGCAGAGTTCTGATACTACAAATTCTAATATTCTTTATCACTCCTGCCTATAATTTTTAAAGAAAATAAATAGACCCTAATGACTAAAAAAAGAGAAAATAATAAAATTCTTTGAAAGTGCACAACAGTTTTAAAAGAGATGATAAAGTACTTGGCATAGGAGATATATTCAATAAATACCACTAGATTAAGGCATATGTCAAGTCAATTTGCTTGTTTAACATAGTAAAAGGCAATACTGAAATAGTTTTGCAAAAGAAAAATTATTAAATGCTAGACTTGATCTTAACATAGTTTGATGGTAACCACGAACTTTTAATGTTTTCAATTAACAAGTCTAGTTGTAACAAAAAGAAAAAGGTTTTGCTTGCTTTTTACTTTTTTTTTCAATTTCACGTACCAAATTGTGGATTAAAAAAAAATTACTCAGAATCCACCGATGGAACATTCTTGGAGCATTTCATAATTAAGTGACAAGTAGGCATACCCACATGTCTGCCTGACTGTCTATCTGTCTGTCTATCAAGAATCCAAGTTATCACTTCCATGCTGACAGGTGTCCACAGAAGTGGAAATTAAAGGAGCCCTAATAACATTGGCCTTGGGGTATATGTACTCTCTAAGAGAAACATACTTAGTGAGGTGTGCTGGTTGTAGCAGGTGCTCGCCTAGTGCTTGTGGAAGGAATAGTGGAAGCATGATTTCCTCACTGCAGAAGAGTGACCTGTGGAGATGTTTGTGTTGTGATGATCAAGATCAGAAATGTAAAGATCCTATATCTTATCCTTTTTCAGAGACAGGTCTCTACATGGAAAACTAATTGTCTAAGTACCATTTACCGAGTAGAACATTCCTCTTAGCATTTTCTTTGCCTATGATGGGAGAGATTTTAATTTACCCAATTATTTTATTGTTTTTGAGTCTATTCCAATCTACTTCTCCTAAGTAAATTTGTTACACTATATTTTTACTAGGAAACTCTGTTAATACCTAAGGCAAAAAGCTCTACTTTGTATTCTTGTTTTTTAAAAAATGTGTGTTCTCTACTTCTAGCAGCAACATATATGTAATTTATTACCTATTATGCATCCCCTTGTTCTTTTGGTTGTTGTATCAAACAGATTATAGGTGATTTTGTTTTGTTGATTCATTTCACTGTTTTATTGTAATTTCTGCCTTCTCCAATGAATTTCTACCCATTGACTTATTTTCCATCAATATAATTCAGGTGTCTCTCTTTTTTTTTTTCTTTAACTTCTTGGACTAGATGACCTCATGTAACACTTTCTATAAAATTCAAATATGTACTTGAGGGAAAAAAAAAGCAAATTCTTGAACTGCCTGTTAAGTGCATTATTTAAATATCCCAAAACTGTACTAAATTGCCAATCAGAGAGGTGGCCTATTAAAATCTGCCACTACGTAATTATGGATTTTTATATGTAATTTTGATGTATGCTAGCTATATACCAATTTGGAGTCATATATCTTCTAGGTAATTTACGCCTTTTACCATTTATGTGGTAATTTTGATCTCTGATCATGATATTCACTTTAGAATCTGTCATGTATGATTAACATGCTTCACTGGCCTTGTTTCGTTAGTAATTGCTATATCTCATTTTATCCCTTTACTTTTTTTTTTTTTAAGATTTATTTTTATTTATTTATACAAGCACTGGGTACAGTCAGAAGCGCGGGAGGGTGAGAGCATTCACCAGAGCCATAGCGGGGAGCAGAGCAGGCAGAAGGACCGAAGTACACTGCTGAGGGGAGCAGCGGGCGGCAGGAGAGGTCTGCGCACCATCTCATTTTATCCCTTTACTTTCAACGGGCTTTTCAGTTTTAAGTTTCTGAAAACAGAATCATAGGCAAATCCTGTACTTAAAGGCAATCTCAGAATCTCTGTCTCTTAACTGGCAGTTCAATTAACGTATTATAATCACCGAATTATTTATTTTTTCCATTTTATTTTGGGTTTTCTATATCCCATGGTTTCTATTTTTTCCCATCCTGATTTGTAAGTTGTAACATTCTATTTTTGTGCTGAATTTTTTGAACATATATAGCTTGATTCAAGAGTTTACAGTTCATCAATTTAAATTAACCTCAGTCTTGGGATACTTTAGGTTTGAACGATTTCTATGCTGTTATTACTGCTAATTTATTCTGACTTACTGCCTTTCTTTGCTCATTGTTTCTTAAATCTCATTTCTTCTGTGCTCTTTGTTAAATTTCTGAATGATCGTCTATAGAACTGTACCTTAAATTTACATTAAACTAAACTGAAAACTTAGTTTAAAGTTAAGTACTTTTAAAAACTTAGTTGCACTAGGCACATTTCAAGGGCAACACTGCTCCTACAACAAGGATCTACTGAAAACGAACACTGGTTTTATTGAAAAATGTCATTTTCTGGTTCTCTTGAATTATTGAAAATAATTCAGTATTTCTCAGTACTCAGAAAATATTCCTTTGTCTTTCAAAACTTAATAGCTGTCAGTCTAATTAGTGCTCCATTGTAAATAATCTCAAGCAGTCTTTGGTTACCTCTGTCTCTTGTCTTTGATATTTTACTACACTTTGTCAAGGCATGTAATTTTCCTATTTATTAGGCTTAGGGCCTTATTCTGCTACCTAAATCTGAGGTTTATGTCATTAATGGATTCTATAAAATTCTCAGTCATACTCTCTGATACAATTATTGTCTCCCTCTAAATCTAATCTACCATTTGTAAATTTCTCCCTGTCATATGTTAGAGTGTTCAACTATACTTTGTTCATATTTCTCATTTCTTTCTATTTCTGGGGTGCATTCTGGATAATTTCTTTAGTTCTCTCTTCCAGTTCACTAATTCTCTTCTTAGTTGTTACTAATTAACTGTTGAATCCAGCTAGAGAGTTTATTTCAATAATCAAAATTTTAATTTCTAGAATTTTTACTTATTTTTCCAATCTTCCTGTCATTTATTTTGTAAACTACATCTGATACTTATATGCATTAAAGTTTCCATATGATCATTTCTGAAGCTTTTGGGAAGGGTTGGCCAGCCCTGCTATTTGTTGTTACATGCCTTTAATTGATTGTGAATTATTTCTTTGTATATTTAATGATTTTGGACCATGAGGTTTATTTATGACATCCGTGGGCAATCTGGGTTAGGGATGAGTCCCAGAAAGGTTTCTGCATTTTCTTTTGCCAAGTGTCCTAGTGTACGCACTATAAAGATTAACTTTATATTAATTTCTTGGTAAGAAATTATACCAACTGGATGATATAACTTGAACCCCAAATTTGTGTAAGGGAAGGCTCATGGTTAAGTTACAGAAGACATTTTCTTTTAAACTTTCCTTTAACTCATAGGCCAGACTGAGATAAACTTGCCTGTCAATCTTCCTAATTTAGTAATATGTAGCTCATTAGGAGAACTGGCTGTCTCCTGGTACATCGGTCTCAGCTCCAACTCCCCAACTTGGGAGGACTTGTCTACTGATCCTATGCAGTAGTCAGCGTCGGCTTACAAGCATTTTACTTTAGCTTTCAAGTTTTACTTTGATGCTGACCCACTGAAATGTTATCTATTCCCTTTTTGGCTAAGCTATGCCTTTAATATTTTACATGTTATATTATTACATGTTATAATATACATTATATTTAGCATCTTTAAATGTTTGTAGGAGGAAGATTTTCTGTTAAGATATTGCTGGAGGAGTTGAAGGATATTTTCTTTAATGTGCCTGTGCCACAGAATCTCCAAAAAAATGACTTTAAAATCTATTTAGCAAAATTAACTCTGTTCACAAATGAAAACAGAAGATAAGCAGACTGGTATTAATGACTATGTCTACAAAGCAAAAGAGCTATTTTTTTCAACTAAGCACAAAGTTAAAACTATCATTAACTTTTTCTTAGGGAGAAATGACTACAGATTAAAACATCATTACATTAATATAAAATTTTCCAGTATACTGATAAAAATGAACACTATGATTCACTGATCAGAACTGCTTCTTCCACATGCTTTAAAAAGTTTATGCACTGTGAGATTTCTCAATTTATCATATATTTTTTAACTTACATACCTCAGGCTGTCTCGTAATGGTCCTTACAATATATGAAAATATTTATAAGGGTAAATAGAGACCTTAGCGTGTCATGGTGCTGATCAGAAGGGATAGGAAGAAGCACACTGTGGACTGGGATAGAAGA